ACTCTAATGGTAATTTAAATATTAGCCGTAGAGATAGAAAGACTGTCCAGTGCTTATATACCAAATAATATACCACTCTCCACAATGAAGTTTGTGAGTCAAGGGTTTTGTTAGAAGTTCAAATGACTGAACTACTCGGTGCTTTCAATACTGCTTTTATGATTTTTGACTGCATAGCATTGTAAAAGCTAATTTATTCTTAGTAAAAGCAGAGTTAATACAGTGTGCTAAAATACTATGTGGCTTATTCATGTGGTCCAGATGGAGAGATATAAGATCCAGTAAAGGTGAGCTCCAAGGATCTAAGACTATTGCCAGTTTCCCCAAGGAAGTTAACGTATTTTACTTTCCACTGGTACTTAGAAAATGAATTTTAAAATATTTTATTTCATTCATTTTTTAGACTGGGTCTCTCACTGTGAAGCCCAGACTGGCCTTGAACTCACAATTCTCCTGCCTCAATCCTCTTTCTCCTCCTTTTTCTTTTTTTAAAAATATGTTTTGTTTTTTTTAAAAAAAAAAAAAACAGTATTTGCTTGAACATCATCATTACCAACTTCTGAGTTACATTTTACATGAATTGTTGTCCCAGATAAAGGCTGTGAAAACCCATAAATACCAAGAAGTTTTCTTTTTTTGTTAACAAAGTAATGCGTGGTCATTTTGCATGAGCTTTAATAAAATAATAACCCAAAACTAGGCTGTGCACTTGGCGGCAGGTGGAAGAAAGCATCACCATTTCAGGGAAGACCAGACACAAACTCCACAAGCGCAAGGGCTCTTTAATTACCCTTCCAGGTTCTCAGCTTCTGGTCACTGTTCTTTAGCCTCCTTGGATCCTTCCACCAGCCAGGCCCCTCCATGTAAAATATGTGTACCCCAGGGTGCTATCTTCAACCCCCGTCTTGTTGCACAGTTTCCCGGAAGAAGTTATTCTTATTTTAACTTCCACTACTGAATCTTTAATATTCCATCTTCCTCACAGACTTCTTTCCAGACCCAAAGTCCAACTAGTGCTTCTGGACCCTTCCAACGTAAATGGGGAGCATCTGAGGCCCTCATGTTCAAAACTGAACTCAGTACCCATCCCATTTTCTCCACTCCTTAAAAAGAACATTTTCCCTTCTTTTTGTGTTCTAGACTTCAACAAATAACAGAACAAGTCACCCTACCCCCCAAGTCAGACACCAGTAGTTATCTGTGGTTTCTCCTCTTCTTCCTCCCTATGTTGCCAAGACTTGCCAATTCTACCTTACCATTTCTTCACTGAATGACTAAAAATCTCCCAGTCTTTTTTTTTTTCCCACCTCCAATTTTGGCTCTCCACCAATCTTTAATCCTCTTCAAATGCACTAATTCTATCACTGACCCCAATCCTTACTACTTTTAAGGATAAAACCATAGCCTTTAGGTTCTGTCTGCTGTAGCTCCACTTATCTCTCTGGCTTCACTTCTCCCCCTCTGTTCTAATGTATAGGCTGTAGACAGTCAACCACAAAGAACCATTACCAGTAGTTGCTGTCTCTTGCCTTCTTGCCTCTTCCCAACCTGTTCTCTGCTAGGAAGCCCTCCTGCCCACATACACATCAGTCTGGACAGTTCCTACTTAACCTTCATGAAAAGCAACCCAGATGCCAGGAAGTGTCTAACATACAGATTGCTCAATAAATGTTTGCTCTATGTTGGAATCAATAACAGCCCTTGATAGTTAAAAAGTTCTTTGTAACATATAAGATATCATTCATATTTAAAATCATATTTAATTTAGTTTAATTATCACTACGATAAACCATCACTGCAGCTCATTAATGAGCAACTAATAGTTCCTGACTTTCCCAAAGTGCCACAGCTAGAAATTACTACAATTTCCCTTGACTGAAACTTGTCCTATTACAATCCTACTACTGGATACCACTCTATTACAAGCTCACTACTGGCTAAAAAGGAATATGGAAGAAGCATAAATCATGGATTTAGCTCCAAAAATGTTTAATCTGAGGTACAAGATCAATAAACATAAAATAACAGAAAATTCCACAAGAGCATACAGGGCTAAGTGCTAAACTGCACAGTGCCTCCAGAAAGAGAGAAAAGTACATTTGGTGGGCATTAGTACAATCCTAGACTTTCCAGGACAGGGAGGGGAGACAGCAAGGTCCAGCAGCAGGATTACACTATGAATGAACCAAAGAGCTGAGAGATGGGCATTCCTGTGAGTACAAGGATTTGTGTGCAGTCTGTGAAGTTTTAGGGGACAACGCAAAAACACAAAAAACGTGCAAAATTTCTACCTTTGACTCGACTACCTAATGGTTCCAGAAAGTAACAGAAGGAAGAAAAAGTACCCTTCACTCTGGTAAGGAAATAAAAAAAAAATTAAAAGTAGCTGGGCATAATGGCTCAAGTCTGCAATGACAGCTACTTGTGAGGATCACGGTTGAAGGCCAGCCAGGGCAAAAAGTTCAGGAGACTCTATCTCAATGGAAAAAGCATGGTGGCACGTGCCTGTCATCATAGCTGCAGTGGGAAGAATAAAACAGGAGGCTCATGGTCCAGGCAGGCCTGGGACAAACAAGACTATCTCCAAAATAACCAGAGCAAAAAGGGCCAGAGGCATGGCTCAAGTGATAGCCACTGAGTTTAGACCCCAGAACCCCTTTTAAAAAATACACCCCCTCATCCAACAAAAACAAAACCTTTCACCCACATATAACAGAGGGGGACAGAACTAACATATTCATTTGCTATGATTTTTAATCATCTGGTTTGCACTGAATAAAGTTAACTTCCTACTAGAGTTACTTTTACTTCAGATTCTGATGTGCCCAAGAGATTTAAATAAGAAAAAGAAAGACTACATGTCTTCATTGCTACCATGTTATTCTCTGGTAACAGTGCTTGGGTGTGATACATTTAGTTAAGGGTCAGTGAAGTAAATAGTAATGTAACTATTCTAGCAAGTGATAAAAACTAAAAAAAAAAAAAAAAACCAAAACCACAGTAGTTCATTGTTTCCTTTGACCACCAATAACATACTGAACTAGGCAGTAAAAATAAACACAATAGTTGAAAACCCCCTTAAGGGATAATAAGACTTTGGCCAGGCCAACACTCCACTAGCAACTTTTGACCTCAGCTATTTTCTCCAGTAGTAGCAATGACTCTAAAGTTCTCTTTCATTTAATAGGCACATTGAGCTGTGGTGCTGGAGGGAAAAAGGAAAACTGAATATTGTCCTTCCCTTGGACATTTTAGTGACTTTCTTCCCCGCTTCTGCAAATTAACCAGTCTTTTCTCCACAGGTACACCACACATGCCCTAAAATCAAATGATGCCTTTTCATATTTATTTGTTGAATAAAACTTCCTTAATGTCAACCTCAAGAATTATAAAATAATACTAAACTACTACAAAGTACGTCACTGATACATATCCCCATTTTCCCAACCTGGAAATCTGTAACCACCAAATTCAGTCCTTGTTACCTTCGCATGGAGATCTGCAATGCTGTTTCTTTCTCCTTAGTTTAAAAAAAAAAAAAAAAAACCAAAAAACAAATGCCTAATCATTTACTGTTTTGGAAAATTTAACCTTACCTTCTTGTTTTGTGCCAATAATGCCAGATTTTTGTTTGTTTGTTTAAATCACTGTCTTAAGACTTTTTATTGTATTACTGATAAGCATCACTATGTTTGTATATTAATGAGATGGCCATTTCCTAAGTCTGCTTATGAAAAACCAGAGTTTGAATAACATTGTGCACAGAAGCACTGAAATTCTCAGATACTTTCTGTCTAAAAATGCATCCTCCCCTCTCTAAGCTTCAGAACAAGCAGTTATGGTACCACAGTACCTTAACTTATTCCTGAAATTTAGAGATGGGGGCATATGCGTGTTTACTTTCTAACCTGAATTTGTTACTTCAGTATTTAAGCGTGTGAATCATGAGTTCTTCATAAATCCTACTGCTTGTCAACATCCACACATAAACTTTCTTGCTTTGACAATTAATCTGAAAAGGGTCCACATACAGTCTGAGAGGGGAAGCCTAATTCGGCTTTCCACCACAGAATATAGGCTTCTCAGGTTCAATTAACCTCTGCATGATTTACTTTCTACGAGGTAAGTGATTCTGCACGGTGTCCTTGTCATCCATGGAGTGCAAATCTCTCCGGTGGCAAAGATGGACAAACACTTACATGACCTCCCCCAAGGGCTCTTCCTTCCTTTTCCTCTGTTGCTGTCTGGAGCAGCGGTGGGATTTGATAGAGAGGTCATAATCTGGGGACCTGAGCACTAAGTCAACCCTGGGATCCCTCCCCCGCCACCCCGCCCCCGCCCACTCCCATCCTCCTGCTTATCTCCTCTCCATTTTTCTCTCCTCCTTCCGGCTGGTCTCCCCCCCCCACCCTATGACACATTCCGGGTTGTGAATATTTCTACAACATACCAGATAAAACTTGGGATCCTTGGGATCCTCCCGGCTTCCTTAAACCCAAACCAAGTCTCACTCAAGATGACTGCGCGGGAGGTAATGTTCCATTCGTCCAAAAGCCCTATACCAAGTTGTGCTACAAAACATGTGGGCTGAATCAGGAATTCAATCGAAATCCGGGAGGATAGTGAAACACCATAAAAAAAAAAAAAACTAAACCAACCGGAAAGATCCGACGCGGGCCCGGGCCTGCAACGTGACACTCGGGATGACAGAGCAATGCAGGGCGGAGGGGTTCTCCCGAGTCTGGGCCCAGCGGGACGACAGGGCCCACGCGGGGCCCTCGGTGGCCTGGGCACAGCCCTGGGGGGGCAGAGGGACCCCCATCTGGACGGCTGGGGGGCTGCAGGGCAATCGCCGGCGCCCGACCAGGGGGCGCCCACGGCAGCGGTGCCTCGGGGTCGGGGGCGGGTCGCCCGGGCCAACGTTGGGCAGGCGTTCCCGGCCCGGCCGCAACAGGTGCGCCCACCCGGCCCCGCCCCGGCCGCCCGGGTCCGGCCGTTACCTGCGGCGAAGTCCCGAGGGAGGAGGAGGAGGAGGAGGCGGCCAGGCCGGCTCGCCGACGCTCGGGAGGTCCGGACAGACGGCCTCAGGATGACGCCCTCGGGCCCCACAGCGCCCACCGCGGAGGACGTCGGAGCGCGGTCCCGCGGGGGCGCCCGACCAGGCCTCTCAGGGGCGGTGTCCTCGGCCGGCTACTGGCTGGGTGCCCCCGGCGACGCTCCGGCGCTCGCGCGCGCCCGCATTTCCTCGCGACTTTTGGTCCCACCCTCTCGCCGTCCTCCTGGCCCCGCCTCCTCCACGCCCCCGGTCGCCACGGCAACCCGAGCGACGCCGGCCGCTGAGGAGAGGCGTTAGAAGGGCGGCGGCGCTGGCGCTCGGCCCGTGGGGCCCCGGGAGCAGCTGACCATGGAGCCCCAGAGTAAGGTGGCCGAGCCGGGCCGGGCCGGACTGGGGAGGAGCGGGCCGGGGCCTTCGGGGATCCAGCATGGCGCCCCGAGCGGCTGCGCGGCTCTAACGCTTCCGAGTGGGAACTGCGGTCGGCGCCTCCGCTCGCGCGTTGCTCTCCCCGGGAGACGGGGGGACGAGCGCCCCTAACGCGTCCCTCGCGAAATTCCCCCACGAAGTTCCACCCCTGCCATCACTTCACTTTGGTAGTCCGGTTCCTTGATCGTCAATAACGCACCTGCTTCTAAAATGCCAGCAATGTTTGCGGAGACCCCACGTGCACCCGCGCAGCCCCCCAGTCCGTCTGTCCTGTAGCGGAGACGGGGAATGACCTTTGTCCCGGCATTTGATCTGTTAGGGGTTCCACAAGATAAGACACGCAGCATTTTTTTAAAAGGATTTCTTCGTTTTTCTCTCTTCCCACGTTGTTTCCGGTGTTCGGCCAAAGGTGCGCAGTTTAGCGACCAGAGGTGTCCGGAGCGGGCACTTACACCCTGGCTTGCTGGGGTTTCCATCCTTTCCTGGGACTTTGTCCTAGGCGCTTCTTTCCCCCTTCCCGCCCAAGCTGTTTTATTGCCCTTTTGTTCTTACAAGGTCCGTGTTTTATGTGGACACTTGAAAGGTCTTAAAACTTTATAGAAGGATTCAGTTTGACTCTCAAAACCAAGCAGTCCCTTCTTGAAACGTTTTAGAAATAAAGCATTCAGGCCAAGTCCAAATTTCTGTGGAGCTAGATGCTGGCATTTTTAAAGGGCATTTTCAAAAAGAAAGTTTTAAAGACTTTTTTTCCTTTCTTTTAACTCATTTGCTGAGGGAAAAAAATTTTTGCTTGTGTTGATAGGATTTTTAAACACTCTCCTTCATTTGCTTTTTCTTTTTTTTAAAACTTATTGGACGCTACATTTTATCAAACCTGTTGAAAAGAAATTTAGGTAAAATAATGCTAAGATTATTTTTTTGTCCCATGTCAACTGCTGTGTAGTTCTCTCTAGGGAAGAAATGATTTGAAGTGCACCATATCTTTTACAATAGAAACTTTATTTCTTCAGGTTTGTGTTGTTTAATGGTGCAAACTGTAAATTTCAGAATGTTTGGTGTTTGATCACTGTCTTGATCCATCCTTTTGCTCACCCTGCCTGTGACAACGTTGCAGCTGTGTTCTCAGGATTAGGGGTTGAACAGCAGAAGTTCTGGCCATCCTAGGACAGCTAAGCAGGGACTTGCCCAAGAACTATTGGAACTTCCATGGGGTCTGAGACCCAGGAAGGGGAGATGGCAAAAGGCTTCCAGGAGGAAGTAGTAGGCCTGTAGAATGACCTGAAAAGAAAGGGGGAAATCAGTCCCAAGGAGAAAAGAAGTCCTAGTGCATAGGCCCTGAGATCTGAGAGAGCAGTGGGTTCAAGGCTCAGAGGAGGAAGATTAATAGAGCTATAGGTAAGAAGAGGGGGAGAGGGAGGAGGAGAAAAGAAGAGTTGTTTGGGGGGTAGGGAGAAAAGAGATAGGTGCAAAAGTCAACGGGAGCCAGATCAGAAGGGCTGTATAAGAAATTAATTACGTGTGTGAACTCTACATTTATATGTGAGCTCATTGGATTTGAGGTGGGAAATATTTGTTAAGTAATTTATGCATGAAGAATGATTACCTGTGTTTTTCACTTACTCTTGAATGCTTTTGTTCATTTCAAGTAATTCAAAAATCACCCTGTGGCTTAGGAAACTTTCACGGTCTAATAAATACCTTTTTGGACACATATTTACTAAGTCATTCATGGTTAGCAAATATTTAAAAGGACAAGATTAAATAATCTCTAAATTCCCTTTTAACATCAGGATTTATATTCAGCCTGATTCTGCTTGATGCTGAAGTTATTAATTCTTTCACAGAAAATGGAAGCACTCCATGGATACAATACTAACAAGTATTATAATTATATAAAATTATTATTAATTATAACATTTTTCTATATTAACAGTATGTTGGTAACAGTATTGTGAAACATTTTAAGACTGGTGTTTACATGGTACCTTTTATTATTGAGGGATTTCAAACAACATTTTACAAGACTAGCTGTATCAGGAAATTGATTAAGATGAAGGATCCTTCTTAAGTGCTTTTAAGGATTAAACATACCTAAGGGCAACACTAAGGAGCTACTAGAAAGACCCCTGAAGTCACTTGTGTCCCTCTGGTCTCCACACGCTTAGTTTTCTATTACTTTGTAGACAGTCATTAAAATCCAATAAAAACAGATTTGTCAAACCCCACAGCTGGATGATACTCCGGCAACAGACAAAGGATGTCAGGCTACTACTCTTTCACAGAATAATAAGTCAATGAGCCAAGAAATGATTCCTTGGGGAAAGGACAAATAAGTTCACAACCTAGGGTTGCACATAATGGTTTGCGCTCTTGGCTTACATATTTATACTTTTTGTTTTGTTTTGTTTTTGTGTTTGTCAGGGTCTCATTATATATCCCAGGCTGGCTTCTTGGTCTGCACATCACATTTTCTTCTTAAACTAACTTCACTATTGGAAAGATAACCCACGTCTGAAATAACATGGAAAATGCACACCAAAATTTGCTTTTTCTCTTCCCGAATTTCTTAGTGAAAAGAACGGAGTGGCTTTGGGAGCCTTTAGCTCAAATCTAAACAAGTACAGTCAGAGTAAACAGACAAATGTAAGGAAACACATAGTCTAAGTAAAAACTATTTATCAAATACAACACTGAGATAAGCACCCCCAGCTCCTGCTCCCTAAACTCTCCATGTCAGTTACAAATACTGCGTTCTGATTATTTGTCAGGTTGATTATAAAAATGGTTATTTGTTTTCCTTTCTAATCTTTATTTCTTTTCATGTACACCCACACATAAACCTGGGATAGGCCAGGCTGCAGCTTCCACTAAATGGAATTCTAAATTATCCCAGTGATGAGGGACTGAGGCATACACTGAAAGACTGGACTTGTCTCTCCAAACCTGTCTCTCCACTAATATTTGCCATCTTCCCAGTTACTCTCGCCTGAAATCTGAGTCATTGTTGACTCCTCTTATTCACTCCCCACTCCTTCTCCCCACCCCCCCACAGGCATGTCTGTTTATTCCACCACCAAAGTGTACCCCAAAAATGCTCCTCCTTCCTCTTCCCTGCTGGAATCAGGCACCCCAAGGCACCATCCCACTTAAGTCATGATTGCAGGTTCTGCTGATTTCTGCAGTTCCTCTGTCCTGCCCCAGAGCCCTTGAAGCTCTTATTATGATCTAGCTGCCTCTTCAAACTCATCACGAGGTCGGTGTGAGGTATTTTATGACTGTAGTTCTTTGTACAAATGTTTCCCTCTGCCAGGAATACTATTTCCTCCTGCTCTGGCAGGTCTGAATCCTAATGACCTTCTGTCTTTGCTTAAATGTCACTTCTCATCCAGTCCTTCTCTGACTCCCTAAAATAGGGAGTGCCCCACCCTGATATTACTATCTCTGCATTTTTCTCTTCATAGCAATAATCACAGTTTGTAATTGTTTTGTTAATTTTTCAACATCTACTTCCTGTGGTTGAAGAGGGCAAGACCCTGTCTTGTTTATTGTTTTGTCCTCAGTGCCTCACAGGGAGCTTGCCCTAAACAAACATTGAAGGAATGGTATTACTGTTAACAGCTAGATGCCTAGTTTGTTTCCTTAAGAATGGTATACTTAAAAGAAAAAAGATGGCTGGAATGTAGCTCAATGGCAGAGTGTTTGCCTAACATGTGCGAGGCCCTGGGTTTATCCTAGAACCAAAAAAGAAAAGACAAAAAAGAAGAAGAAGAAAGATGTTTTCCTTTACAACAGAAGGGCTATGCTCCAGTGAAATGTGAAAGACCTGTTCTGGAGTATATTTTGGGTAAAGTTAATTTAAAATCAGGTGTTTAAAAATGTCAGGTCAGTATGGTAGTCCCATTTTCTTTTCTCATCTAAATGGATGTTTTAAGAGTCTCATTTTATCTGGTAAGATTAAGGATCTATGTAAGTAATCTTATTTTTTGGGCCAGAGGACCTAACAAAATCTTTGCACTACCGTGGAGCACATGCTCTGAATCACCTGGGAGGCTGGAGAAAACTAGAAGGGAATTTCTTACTGAAGCCCAGGAATCATTCAACAAATCTCAAATAGTCTTAGCCCTTAGAGAATATTAATTCTTTCAATTAGGCTATAATTCAAATCTTATTAAGAAATAAATGCTTATAAAAATCAAATTTAAAACTTAGCAATTTCAAAGCAATACCTTTTAAACAGTCTTAACTTAAAATCCCCCTCAAAATACTAAATGTCATTTCAGTCCTGACCTGTGATGCTCAGTCAGCCAAAGGAGGTATCTAGTTGAAGCTGTGTGTCCTGGGTAACTCAGGTTCACCCACCTTAGCTGCGGATCTCTTCTATTCCTGCTGACTCAGCCTTGCTTGGTCTTGATCAGCAAAGGAAGCACTGTTACAACTTGTCTCTTCTGAACCAGCAAACCAGGTTCAAGGAGGGGCTTGTGCTCACCAGCATCATCTAAGAGTGGCCTGGATGAGTCATTAAATTCAGGTGGAACCACACTCCTAAAGTAAACAACTCACACTGATGTTCCCTGTGTGTGCTTACATAGGGCTGGGTGGCAAGTCTAGGGCAAAACTGAAGATGTTTATCCTGGGGGCGCTCAGAGGCTTTCCTCAATGAAGACTGGAAGAAGGAGGAGGCAGGCTCTCGCAGAGACCCTTCTGCCCCCTGACTTCTGCCTGGAATGCGCTCACTGCGTGCCCACCTAGTCACCCTTTAAAACCTCCTT